TAAAACATGATTATAGCTGTCAGTGCTTACGTCTAAATAAGTCATTGGAAATTCAAGCATGCAAGGAAAAATGCTGTAAATCGGTCTTACCCACGTGAAGCTCTTTTAGTCTTTTTCAGAAATGAATTTGATGTTTTAGGACTCAGGAAGGCACCAGCTAGGACTTGGCCTTATGCTTATGTGGACAACTCTGATTAAAAAAAAAAATTCAGAGTTATATTTTTGACTTTCGATTTGGGACAATATCAAGAACATTTTCTTTGAGAGAGAGAGAGAAGAAAATCAAAGAATATTTTCTAGCTGATAGAATGTTCCCCTTTCCTTATTTTCTTTATTTCAGTTCCTGTCTATATCCAAAAATCATATAATTCACCTATTTCAATTATACAAAATATTACCATGTTTTCAAACCAACTCATTAATAACTCGGAACCATTCAACTGCAGTCTTATGACTTATTTCACAATAATCAATTGTTTTTTTCTAAATTCAACTCCTTTTTTATCTTCCAAATCCAGTTTGGGGATAGATTAAAAAAAAAAAATTCCCGTTTCCCCCACCAGAAGCAATATAAAAATATTGTCATCTATTACAACCATGGGGAATTTTAGTTTTGTTCTGTTTCCTTATATGGTGGCTGTGCATTTGAGTGATAGCTCTTTGTTCAAAACGATGCAGAAGCCACTCTCACATCTAAGTCTAATGAGATAAATGGCATTATGAAGAGAATATTAAAAATTTACAGCCCTCTTTACTAAGTTTGTCAGCCGCACATGCTGAATATTGCATCACACACACACACACACACACACACACACACACACACACACACAAGCATACAGTCCTAACGACGAAAAGGATATGAGGAGATAATGATGCAATCATCACACGTCTGATGGAGTTTGCATATCTCCGTTACTGTTTGGCATGTCATTTAATTGTATTGTGCCAAACTGGCAGGATCACACAATATGTTAGTGTAAAGGGCCCACAGTTTAAGAGGAAAATCTAGAAGTGTTAACTATACACTGTCTAATTATACAACCTTACTGTCCCAGAATGTGATTTCAGAAACCATTTCTGACATATGGGAAAAGGGTAGAACAGCTGGTCATTAAGGTTTTCTCAAGACTATTTAGCAACACACTTGAATGTAATTAAAGTGAGACACTAAATACTGTGTTTGTGGTACAATGTATTTTTAATTTTTATGGCATGTGGTAAAAGTAAATAGATGCAAAGCATTCAAGTTTCTCCATTCGGCATCCAACTTGTCAAAGATGCAGTGTCTGTTTGGCTGATTGCAAACAGGATCCTGGTGTAAGCCATAGACATCCATTGATGGCACTAATTTAAGGCTGTCTTTAAGGGACTGAATGTGGCCATCCTCGGAAGAAAGGTTCAAGTGGAACTCCAAGACAACGCATGAGATGAGTCCATTCATTCATGCATGCATACAAACATGCATTCATTCATCAAACACAGACTGGCATCACTTTAGGTGATAAAGTCTTTATCTCTGCCATGAGTGGCTCATACCTTCTTATTGACCTTACAGTGTAATAGGAGCATTCAATTGTTTATCTAAGGATTTGCTTTTTTTGGAAAACACAAACTAAAATACTTACCTCAAAGAGTTCTTACTTTTATTTTTCAAAAATACAAGTTGTAAAATTAAAAATGAGTAGTTGTAGCCAGGTGTGGTGGTGCACACCTCTAATCCCAGTGGCTTGGGAGGCTGAGGCAGGAGGATCACGAGTTCAAAGCCAGCCTCAGCAAAAGTGAGGCACTAAGCAACTTGGAGAGACTCTGTCTCTAAACAGAATATAAAATAGGGCTGGGGATGTGGCTCAGTGGTCGAGTTCAATTCCCAGAACCAAAAAAAAAAAAGAAAAAAGAGTATTTGTATGAGTCTTACGATGAATATGTTCAGGTGGGCTGAGAGGTAAGGGAAGTTCATCCCAATGGCAAATGTTCTATACATGTGGTCTTGAAATGAAGTGAAGAGATTTACCAAGCAATGAAGTGTGTGCAGTATTAATAGGAATACTAGCCATCATGGAAAATGGTCAAAATATGCCATGTATCACACTATATCTGCCACACCACGGAATTCTTCCAACAGCCCTATGAGGTTAACATTAATATTCCCATTTTACAGGTAAGGAAATTTGAATCTCAAAGCAGGTAGTAACTTTCCCAGGAATACGTGCAGCTGTGCCCACATACTTGTGTGTACATGCGCACGCATGCGCACGTGCACACACAGAGCTAAGGAGTCCTCAGATTAAGTCCACCCAGCATAGACACCCACAGTTTTTCATCTTGCTCAATTAGTGACTTCTTGAATTCATGTTGCCAGAAGATAAAGTAATCCAGAGGAAACGGTGTATAGTACAGGGGAATCACCAATTGTGGTAAGAAGCCCTTAGTCACTGCAGGGCTGGGGTCCTACATAGGGGAATACCCAGGCCTTCTTTCTCTGGCTAGCTATGGGCATTTATCACTCATTAGGAACCTCACTAGATAATGGCTAAAAAAGAAAAAAAATTTTAAAAAAAGAAAGAAGGAGAGATGAAATTCAATGAATCTTGAATCTGTTTGACTCCTTACACAAATTTCTAGAAAATGTTGAAACTTTTGTCTAATACTAAACTGAAAATCGACCGTGGGTAATAATCATTTTTGTTGCTGCTACCTTCTCGTTAGCATCAATGGCCAAGCTGAGGCTCCAGCTGTAACCATTAATCTTGTAGTTTCCATCTCCTTCACTGTTAGAGAGCTGCACCCTCTCTGTCCTGGACTGCCTCTTCATGGGTAGTCTCCCTTCCCTGAAGATGACTTTGCAGACAAAGGGACATGCCCTGGAGCTGTTTTCTACAGCAAGAAAGCAGGACTACAGAGGGCCATCCACATTCCCTCACTCTCTCCCACGCTCTGTTATCATCATAGTAACTGGACACAGTTAAAGGATATAGACTTTTGGCCAAAGAACAAAGGATCGCTAACTGACCCACGTGGGCACTGAACCCCTGACCTCATTAGCACTGTTTTCTCGCCACCTTGGCTAACAGACAGCCCAATTATGAACACTGAATCAAAGAGAGAGGTCACCTCTTCACCTGATGCCAAGAAAAGCCTACGACTGCTGGTTTGTTAAGAAGAGAATGCTTCTCCAGTCAAAAAACCACAGTATGAATATCCACAACCAATTTCTAAGAATCCCCCCTTCCCTGCATGGCTTGGTTTAGCAGAGATTATTGTCAATGCAGTTTCCAGTTTGGAAGGTGATATGGTTTGGGGGAATATCACCCCAGATGGAAATGCTGATATGTTCCCTCTCACCAAGACCCTCAGGTCTGGGCCAAGTTCAATCTTTTGCAGCTGTGATCCCCATCTCTAGCTCTCTCTCTGGATCTCTTCCACACTGTTAGTCCTAACCCTTGATTCTCTGCCTAGGAATAAAACAGTTCTTTGGAGTGCCTGCTGAGGGATCTACGGCAGGGGCATTTCCACATTGGATTTTATAAAGGAAATGACTTGTTACTCTATGACAGTACAGAGGTTCTTCAAAGTTGTTCTTAAATTGTTAAGTACAACTTCCATGTTCTGAAAGATGACCATTTGCACAATTTGTGTTTATATGAGTTTATACATGCGTGTAATTGTTTAGGAAATCTTGAAAAATATTTATGTGTGTATTGAATTATATCTAATTAATCTATTTTGTTTTCAAATTCAAATTATTTTAATAAGCTCCTGGGATGGCCTGAATTGGTCATTCAGGGTACAGGGCACACACCTGTAATCCCAGCGACTCAAGAAGCTGAAGCAAGAAGATTGCAAGTTTGAGGTCAGCCTCAGTAACTTAGCGAGGCCCTAAACAACTTAGCAAGATCCTAGCTCAATTAAAAAAAAAAAAGTAGAAAGTGCTGGGGATGTAGCTCAGTGGTAAAGTGTCCCAGGTTCATCTCACAGTACAAAAAAAAAAGAGACATAATTCTAATAAAGCCAAATATAATGGTTGGATTCCCAGACCAGCTATAAGGCTTTTCTATAGCCTCAGGCCTCAGCTTCAACCAGGGCCAACCAGCTCGTGCACAGTATGATTAATACAATAATGACAAGGAGAGGTAGAGTGTGGATAATTCATTGAGGAAACATCCCCTCTGCTGGAAATAAAATGGCTAACCCTGATGTCAACAATTTAGCTTTATATTGTTCTCATAGTCTAAGGGCAACTTTAATGAATGAATGAGAAGATGCATGCCCAGAAACCAGATTTGATCCATCTAAAGGTGAATCACAGAGTGTGGGTATATTTCAGAGTATGTTTCACTCTATAGAATATTTGTTGACCCTATGTCCTTGTTGCTAACCCTACCTGTCCCTCTACTCTTCCCAGCACAAGTCAACACTGAAGCTTCTCCTCCCCTCCCATAAAACATGGAATTTACAATTCGTAGCAAAGCCTGGTTCGGGAGCTCATCGCTGACCCAATTTGATAGGTATTACTAGTGTCCCAACACTCCATTCTCCTCTACTTCCAGGTGTAAGGAAGATTATATTGGCCTACATTTTGAAGTCAGATGTGCCCAAAGTAAGTAGTTTTAGCCAATGAAATGTGCCCAGAAAAGTCAAAACTATTCTACTGCTAATATTCCACTCTCTGGATTTAGTGGCAACAAACTTATAGGCAAACCTGAGCCTTCTGATGAGAAATCAGCACTAGAAGTGGTGAAGCCTAGTTATTCTAAGATCTTAAGTGATGCCTACCTGGAACATAGATGCTCCTGATCCTATATCCACATCCATATGCTAGAACAAGAAATCAATCTTTGTTGTTTTAAGTCACTGGGACTTTGAGATTGTTTCTTTCTATAGTATATCCTCACTAGAGAAGAAACTACCTCAGCATCTAAGTCTTTCAGACAACTGGATCAGGTATCTGAAGTCCTGGTACGAGTCCTGGGAACCTAAGTATTTACTAAGGCACACTACACAGTACAGTGATCCCCTTTAGCTGCAGTTATACTTTCCACAATCTCAACAACCCATGGTCAAGTGAGGTTTGAAAATATTAAATGGAGGGTTGGTGTTGGGGCAGGGGTTGTGGCTCAGTGGTGGAGCTCTTGCCTAAGATGCATGAGGCACTGGGTTCGATCCCCAGCACTGCATAAAAAATACTAAA